TGAACAAAATTTGCTGAACCATCGTTGACACTTATGAACATTCAAAACATTTCCATGAACTTCTTTGTGGCTACAGAGTCGGTTTCCCTTGTATTCAAATAGCATTACATGCTGAATGTGTCTCGTTGTGTGCCATCACTACAAGGGATTAGAGTAAACTCAACTTTACACATTATATAAGCTACACTAACGTGACGTTCAAGCAGTTCGTTTAACTATTATACACGATGTACGTTTTTTGGGGTGGTGGTAAATGAAAGTGTTCCAAAACGTGACATTAATTTCTTGATGACCTAATACATATACATATTCAGAGGTGGTTGGACAAAAAAAACTAACATTTGTTAAAAGGTACTTAAAAAAGCTTTTGACCTCAATGAGCCTTCAAGACAATTCTAAATTTAGTTCAGGTGCTGGAAAATGTTAACAGGAATAATACACTATACCTTGGGAACCATCATCACCTGCAATCCCTTCAGAGGTGACAGTGTGTAAAAGTCCAATTTAAAATTATGTTACAATAGTTTAATACAACTAAGATCTGGCATATTAAAATTTTTGCATGCTCAAAAAACAGTCTTCTACTTTTGCAGTATGAACAGGTTCACTCACTGCCATCTCAAAAGAACCTTTAATAGTGTGATAAGGATGCTGAATTTTGTCTTGTATTAACTAGATGATCTTCTGCCTTTTGGAGTGATTGGTCCAACCAAGTTCAAACATCATTATCAATGGTGCTATTTGCATTAGAAGTTTTACCGGATTCAGTTCATGCTGACATCACCAACCATTTTGACTTTGTTAAACATAAACCTTCCATTATCCTTGTTTTTGAATTGGTTATTTCCTTCGAGAAGATATGATGTCTGACTGAAGGTCAGCAAGGATAGCTAGCCTTTATAATAAACACATACAAGACAGCTAGGAATAAGGCTGCATATAATTACCACGTTCAATGTGCAGATTGTACATCTAGAAGAGGTTTAGGTACCTAATGAAACTAGCAAGTGAACTGTATTTTTTTTTGTTAAACATCTTTTTTGTATCCACATTCAAAGTAATTTCTTGTAAATTTCAAGTTCTTTTCAAAAACATCTTAAGACAGGCACTACCCAACTTTGCAGCATTTAGTTAATCTTGTTTTACTTATCTAGTTATACCATTATCATGTTAGATAAATTAATTTAATATTGTTACGTAATAATACATAAATATTTATTTTCTGTCTATGATATAAATAAGCAAGATTTTATCTCTTAAGCTTGCAGCATTACTTTCATATTTTTCAACAGGAGTCTAATTAAAACAAATGAGAACCAAGAGAAGTCTGCCAGGAGCAGTCGCACGAACATTGCTGAAACTATTATAAAGGAACCTTCTCGTACCCCAACACCCCGTCTTCTGAAGACTGTACTAAAAGTGAGCTTAATACCCAATGTCCTTAATAATAATAATAATACAAGTGTAGAAATTGTGTAACTTCTACACTTGTTATGTCATCAGTTCCCAATAAAAACCTTATAAAACAAACATTTGATTTAGTACACTTACAATATTAAATGAAAATGTAAGGAATGTGTTCAACAACAATAGTAAGTCTTGAAAATGGAACTTTACTTGGATAATAGTGTAGAATACAAATGATGGCAATTATTCAATGTTTACGTAAATAATAAAGTATTACCCATTTGAATTTTGATAAAACTTAAAATACCATCACTTGATTGGTAGTATACTGATCTATATATTTCACCATTGCATTACATGGACATATAAGTAGTGTGTTACAATGAATTGAAACTCTAGATGGATCTTTCATTATATTTCCAACTATCTTTTGTAAAACTTTTTTTAATGATCATAATATTGTTTCAGTACTTATAAGTATACTTTAGCTTATATTGTGTCTGTATTTACAACTGTCCTAAATCTTATGTTGTTGGGTAATTTGGGAGGGGGTTTTTGTGTATGCTCTTGGGAATGGGTGAGCATCCTTAACCTACTTTTTTTTACCATAACCTGATATATTAATTTAATTCTGTGGCACATAGTTATTTTAATGACTTAGTCTCTTAATATTTTCTAGGTAGTCCAGCCTGATTCCTTGTGTGCTCAAATGCTCAGTAAGAAGTCCTCTGCCCCAGTACTAACATGTGATCAGATTCCAGGCAGTTTGACAGCCTCTACCCATCTTCGAGCAAGCAGTATTAGTCATATAGAGGCAAAAGGGGTTAATAAGTTATCTGTGTACAAGAAAGACCAATTTCTTCCACCTGTGATGCCTTTAAATCAACAGAACAGTACAGTATCATTAGAGAACTTTTTTACCATTACATCAGATGACATTAATCCTAATGCAATCAAAGAACTGGTGAAGGTGGTCCCTTTCACAGGTTCAGGGTTTCAAACTCCCCTTTCTAACCAACTTGATAATCAATCTAAAACTAAAGAGGTGTGTTCCAATGTAAACATCACAGAAAAGTCTGTAACTTCTGTAGAAGAGTTACCAAGCATTAGACACAGTAGTTCTTTGAACAGCATAGTCTCTGAACAGTATGATTTAGAAGAACTCAATTTTTCTCCAAGTAGACTAAGTACATACAGTTTGCTAGGTTATGATAATTTAGGATTTGCTCCTCTTGATATCAATTTGAGTCGTAGTGCAAGTGTTACTAGTGATGAAACTGTGTGCTAGTAACTGAGGACTTCTATGACAATATCAGTTGAAAAACAGAAGTAAATACACAACTGTAAAATAACTAAGGAATCCATTAGATTACACAATTTACAAGATTAATTGATAAGTAATATTGTTTTTGTTTTTTATACACACACACACACACACACACACACACACCATTATGGCTATATTCATTGAAATTTGCACCTAGTTATCAATGATGTTTTTTAAGCAGACTAGTAAGATAAACATTTCTTTCTTATACAAACATAAATTTTGTCCATACATTTTATTTTTGTTACCTGATAAAAGAATTATGGATGTAAAATTTAAACACATTTAAACTCTTTGGTATTTAATATATATTATTATATAACAGTTTCATAATTAACTAAGTACTGAGAAAATTACACAATTTATAGCATACCTTGACCTAAAGATACTCAAGTCCATTGCTCATTCATATTTTGGGGTACAATGTTACTTCATATTTTTGCCACAATTATATAGGGAAAATCCTTAATTTCATAAAAACTGTATGCAATCTACCAATTCCTGGTGGCACATTTGACAAATAACATGAGTAGTGCCTGGCCATTTTTATGATACTTTAAAGATGGAGATATAAATGTAATTTTCCCTCATGTGAATGTTGTTTTTTGTGATTTGATATGTTAAACACGTGTCAAAATTCTGGAAAGTAGTGGATAGAAATTTTTTTATTTTGTCATCCCTAGTTCTTTATTCAATAAACTTACAGAAAATAAAAGTTTTACCTTTATTGTGACTTAAAATCAACCTTATAGGTATTAGTATTAATTGTTCAAGAAAATTAAAATCCTTAAGCATATTCATCTTCTAACTTTAATGAATGTTAAGAAGAAAAGTATTTTAGAATGTTTAGCCACTATTGTACACCAAACATGCTCTAAACTATTTTAGTTTACTTACATATCAGTTTATTTTTATTTTAACAACTCCATATGCTTTTTTAGTTATGCCAATCCTACTGAAATAAAGACGAATATGCTTCTTTTATTTCAATTTTTAGTTGTACAACTTTCTCAACCAGGGGGTGAATTTTGTAATATTTGTGCACCATTTTGTGGGTTGGGAAAACACCATGTATACAAATATTTATTCAGTGCAGCTATTCTTTCCCTTAGTTGATTTCACAGTTGATTTTTAATAAAATTTTTGCCTGTCTGAAACTTAGTAATTAGTATTAATTAACTGTATTATATACAAAAACAACTGAAATCATAGCAGCACACACATTTCATTTATTTGTAGTATTATAGTTACATAGGTCAATACAATATAAATAATCTTCAAACTTAACTACAATGATGAAACAATCAGGATTTGATTTGTTGTTCAATAAATGGTGTGTAAGGCAAAACAAAAAAGGCTCCATATCCTCTCTCAGCAGGAATACGAAAAACAAAAAAAGCAGCACAGATGATCTCTTGAAGATAATTTTTATATAAAAAAAAGTTGCATTTCAGTTAAAACTGGCATCTGGATCCGAGCACAATAAATGAGTGAAATATTTTCCTTTATGCATCTGAAAATGTACAGCATATTTCTCAGACTAATATAGCCAAAACACTACAATTTTGTTTTTGTATGTACTGACCTAGGTAACCAGTGCAAGTTAAGAATGTGATGCTACTTCATGATTGTTGACTTCATTCTGCTCTTGATCTGTATCTTGTTTTGGCTTGTTGAGATCATCTGGTTTCATTGCAGGGAAAAAAAGTACTTCCTATATATAAAATAAAACATTTTATAAAGTCTAGTTTACTAAAATGGAGGAAGAACTGATATTAACTCAAACGAAATTTAAGAAACTTAGAAATTAATAAGAATGTTAGATTTCCAACCATTTGAGATACTTTTGTGTATATTTTAGTTGTTTCAAAGATTTGTGCAAAGCTATATAAAGGGCTATCTGCACTAGCTGTTCCTAATTTTCAACTGATAGAGAGATAGCAGCTATTCTATTTGAATAGTGGAATTTGACCAACCTTCTCAAAGAACACCCACGGCCCTAAAATAAGAAGCATGATTTCTCATTAGCAAGACGTGAACCATATTCATAGTACAGCCTGTTAACCACTAAACCGTGCCCTGTTCCTACATTTTAAAAGTACTTTTGTAATTTGAGAGCATTCTATTGTTAAAAACTTTTTTCTATAGACTAAGAAACCCAGTATGGAGGATAATAAGCATAAAAATGATGTTATAAAAAAAATTATGTATCTTTCCATTTAAAATAATTTCAATAAGAAAACCTCAATGTTGCCACAATTCATATAATTTGTTGACAAACACAAACTTTACCTTGATATTGTTGGAGTCAGTGAGGATCATAGTCATGCGATCAACTCCTAAGCCCCATCCAGCTGTTGGGGGCAGTCCATATTCCAGAGCAGTGCAAAAGTTTTCATCAATCATCTGAGCTTCATCATCTCCTGCTGCTTTATCCTACAGTTGTCAAATCAAAACTGGTTAACAAAGAACTATGCTACAATTAAAGTAAACAAAACAGATAATTAAAAAGTTGATGAATGATAAAATCCCACTTTAATTTATGATGAAAAATTTACTCCCGTTTGAATTTGGCATCAAAGTAATCTTTTTAATATTGAACTACACTACACATGCACATCATTTACTTTGATTTTTCTGTAACTTGTATATTACTAAAACATGTAAAACTGAAAAAAAAAGTGTAATTTGAATTAGAAAATAAAAATAGAACATCATGAAAGATCCGCAAGTCATTTATAAGAATAGATTTCACAAGAAAAATTTCTATACACTTTTACATTTGTTGTTTGCTAAAGGATTAGGCTAACCTTGGCCTGCTGTTCGAATCTCTCCCTCTGGACAACAGGATCATTCAACTCTGTGTAAGCATTACACACCTCTTTTTTCATGATAAATAGTTCAAACCTTTCAGTTAGACCTTTCACAGACCGGTGCCTAGCCATTATGCAAGAATAAAATGAAGTTACAACAATAAACATTTTTGATAAATTATAAAATCAACAAAAGTTCTTTATATTTTGCACAAAAAGCAATATTTTACCAGCTAGATATTTATGCATTTTATAACTAAATACCAATAACTTCTTTCTCTGATTCATAATAAGACTGTAGTAAAAAAAATATTTTAAAATATTCTTGAAAAAAAAAGAAGATATTCATAAAACGATAATTTCTGGGGGGGAAAAATGGTGAAACATAATCTGAAGTTCAACGTTTTCAAAAAATGCTATAAGAGGTTTATTATTAATATAGAATAGTCAAAACTTTCATACAGAAATAGTTCATCATATTTTTCTCTTGTAAATTTGATAAAATTTACATGCTTCATGAAAAACCAAAATTTGTGCATTTAAAACAGTATATTTACGTACGAGGCCTTACAATACCAAATGGTCATTTGCAGGTGGTGTTTATTGTATTATTACATTTCTCATTACAGGACTCATTTCTGGTTAGAAACAGGACTAACTTGAATTAAACTGAGTCACAGGGCTCATTACATTTTGTTAAAATACAAAAATAACAGTTCATCACTATACTAACATAAAGAAAAAAAACTGGCTTTTTCTGAAAAAATCTCACAAATGAGTTACTTTAAACTGCTATTAAATCAACCAACCTTGTTTAAGAAATACCCACCATTTTGATAAAGGACTCATAATTTCTGGGTGGTCACATAAGAAGGTCGGATTAACAAATTTTTCTTCTAAAAATTCTCCAACAAGCTGAAATCAATATTTTTTATTAATACAAATTTAATTATTTGTGAAATGAAATTGTATTTTGCAGTTGTTACCTGTTCTGATGTTAGTTTTGTAGCATGTAAAATAATTAGATATTATTCATTATTTAACAGAAAGCATAATAAAGGGTTTATTTAATTTCAATGATATTGCTTAAAAGTCCATATATTTTTTACAAAAAGAAATATCTGGTTATTCAATAAACACATTAAGCTCTTGTTGTAAGGTTGCTGGCATTCAGACAATGTCATAGCTAACAGACTTTGGAATAATTAAATCCAATTATCAATTAATTAATTATTATTTCTTTCTTAGTACATACTAATTATTATTTAGTTTATATTCTACATTTTCAGCTGCTAATTTACAGCTACCTTTAGCAGAGTCCTGAGAAAGACCACATGTGGTAGCAGGGGCCATGGTTTGACCTAGGGTACTTTTATTATAAAGGCAGGTGTGCTATCCCCTCATTAAGTTTCTCACCCCATTGGGACGTCCTTAACCATCCCGGTAGCCATCTTGATAAATAGTTGATTCAAGTCCAAGTATACACAAGTGAATAATACACCTTGCCTTTTTAACAAAAAGATCAAGGAACAACAACTGCCTCCTGCCACAACAAATACAGCCTTTCTTAGGACTCCCCTGGACACAGCAGCAAAAGAGCAACTGAAACATAGGATATAACATACATGATAATTAACCTTTTCTGGACTAGTAGGGTATCACTTACTTCCCAGTGTATTACTAAACCAAGTTGCATGAAACTTTAATTACAAATGTTCTAAACAGTATTTAATTTTTCTACGAAAAAATTCATATAACATGATGTAATATTTCTATAAATGTTTAGGTTGCAAAATTTCCAAATTTTGTTGTGAATCACCATTTGGAAGAAAAACAACAACATTAAAAACAGTTCCTTTGCCTTATGCTTTAAATATCTTTATATCCACTTATTTTCATATTCATTTGTTTCATATTCATTAATATCTTTATTTTGCAGATTGAAACAGATGAGTTTTCCTTACAAATCATATAAAAAAGAAAAAACTGACAAGAGTTAACCAAACCCATGACCTCCACTTTGAAAACTGTTTCACCATTATCTTTGTCAGGCACTGTAACATGATTTATGCCAACAATATTTTTGATCAAGATTGAATTTAACAAAACATTAAAGGATCTTTTGGTCAATCTAGGCTCTTATTCACTAAATTAAACTAAATGCATTATAAATAAGAGGAAAGGAAGAAAATCCAGCACTTATCATGCTTTTCCTTAAACTCCCTTAAATTAACTGCATCCACTACACCCAAAAGCAACCTGTTCCCGAAGCCAACCACTCTATTATAAAACTAAAGCTGTCTTAACTGACATACAGCCAAAATTTATATTTCTGTTCCCTTGTCTTACCATTCTCACCATAAAATATAAAAAAGATAATAATAAGTCTTACATCTTAAACACTTCAATCAGATCCTCTGTAACTGTTCTTTTTTCAAGATAACAACGTTCAGAAATATTGACTTATCCATATATAGCATGTACATTCCAGGTATCACCCTAGTAGCCCTTCTCGGAACACCCTTTTCAATAATTCAGTGTCTTTTTTGAAATAATGGGTCCAAGACTGAACACAATACTCCAAATGTGGCCCAACCAATGAACAATGTAAAGACATTATAACCTCTTTAGACTTGTATTCAGTATTTTTGTAGATACAACCTAAAATCCTATTTGCCCTGCCACTAGCAACAGCAAATTGCTTGGATAGCTTAAGAGAATGATCAACCAGAACATTAAGATCTTTTTCTTCCATAACACTGCTAAGGTTATTTTCATCAAAATCACACTCATAATTCAAATTGTGACGTCCCATGTGCACTACCTTATATTTAATATAATTAAAATTCATCTGCCATTTATTCACCAATTAATCCAAATTCTTTTACAAGACAGTAGCATCCTTGTATTTTGTTTTCAATAAATAGTTTTTATTTGTGTTGTTTAAATATATTAATTTAACACTATATTTAATGAAAAATAACTTGTCATCCAAATAGTTTGTCACTTATCACTGTATTTGTTTCACATAACTTTATTTGATGTCTTGTTATTGAAAAATATTCCTGTAGCTTTCATGAAGATAATTGAACATGAAAACATAATCATGAGCAAAAATGTCAAAAAAATGCTAACTATAAAAAATTTCTGTATCTGTGGTTTGATCCTAAGAGTTTAAAAAATCCTATTTATATCCTTTCTTCACTCTATAGGAAATCTGGTTTGTTCACATACTGAGAAACCACATATTTATGGCTAAAACCACTTTGTTTACTTTACACTGATGTAGATAGATTTGAATATTCTCTATCCAATCATCTGTAGGATAAGGCTTTGGCTGTTTTTAAAGCTGAACTTCAAGAGAATTCAACAGTTAGATCCCTGGTGTCATACAACAAGAAAGTACTTGTAGGAATAAAAATCATCAACAGGATTCAATAGTGTCACATAACAAGGAAGTACTTGTAATAAAAATCATCAACAGGATTCAACAGTGTCACATAACAAGGAAGTACTTGTAATAAAAATCATCAACAGGATTCAATAGTGTCACATAACAAGGAAGTACTTGTAATAAAAATAATCAACAGGATTCAATAGTGTCACATAACAAGGAAGTACTTGTAATAAAAATAATCAACAGGATTCAACAGTGTCACATAACAAGGAAGTACTTGTAATCAAAATCATCAACTATAAAACAATAATTAGCTTAATACTAAAAACAAAAACTGGTAATTTTTTATTCTTTAGTTTCAGTGTAATGTTTTTGACTTGTATATATAAAAATAAAATTTTTGCAGAAGCTACATAATCTGTAGAAAGTTCTTCTGAAGTTTCAAACTATTTCACCCAGTAGGTTTTTTCTCACAATGAAATAAAACAAATCATACAGCAGATGCAATGAATTGACCCACCTGAGTCTCATAGTTAAGTAACATTTTTTAAAAACATAGTTCAGTCAAAACTAGAAGAGGTCTTAACTCTAATGGTTTTCTTTATTAATAGTTCATCTTTTGTCTTAGGGCATTACATCAGTTTTAAACAGAAAAGCTGTCATTTAATATAAAGTGTGTCTTCTATTTTGCTTCATATCCGGAAAAATAATGCATTTTAAACCTATTATAAAGACTAATATAATTTTTAATATCCACCTTGTCCAGTAACCTGGCTGTTGTCCTAGGTGATGGGCATTCTACTCCATGTTTTTCACAAAGGTCCGATAAAATATGGTTGCATTCTAACACAGCAGATAAAACAAAATCAAAATAAATATACAATAAAAAATTTAAAACAACAAATTGTTTTATCTTAATTCCCAATCTACTGTCTACACTGAAGAACATATTGTTTAAAATAACTGGTATTTGGCAAATTACAAATCAAACCTGGAAAAATAAATTATACTTTAAGAGCTTTGGTTTTTGATCCAGATATTTACCTATAAAGGAGTTTAATTTAATAAGTAATTTAGCAATTGAAAATCTAACAAACAATTTATATTTTTATTGGCAAGTTTCAATAACTCATTAACTATTTCTAATCTTTCATGTTTAGCAAAGCAAAACTAATATTTCAAAGACTGGAATATCACTAGTTCCAGTTGAAATACACACAATAAAATTTTTCTTCAGAACTTTCAGTTTATTTTAGTTTCAGTTGATATTTTTCACCAAAGTAACCTACCAAACTAGAGATATTTAAAAAACAAAGTAAAAATGATAAAAAAGAGAGTTAACAATGAATTCTATCACAGGTACATTAATACAAAGTTTTATGGAAATCTATGTGTAGCTAACCGAAATAATTTTATATTTTCATGCACAGTTTGAAAAATACACCACCTTCTTTTTTTAAAAACAAACTAAATATAAATATGTATTATACAGTTTCTATTAGAAGATTTTGCTTGAAAATCAATGATGTGCCAATAATTTAAGTCAAACAGCAAGTAAACAAAATTCAAGACTTTACCAGAAGAGTCTAGGTCTTTAGGATCTGGAAGCTTGACACCCAATGCTTTCTCCAAATCTGGGATCATCTTCACCCGACGAAAAGGAGGTGTAAAATCAATCTCCACCGGTTCGCCATCACAGCCATCAGGATGATAAGTTAGCTTGTAAGAACCAGTTAATTTCTTTACCATTCCTAGAAAAGACAACAAAGTATTATTTATACTCCATAGAAAATGCATATGAAAATTAAAAAAAATTAGATAATGATCTATTATATTTTATGGAATTTAAAAGAAATAAAAATAGTCTGAACTCACATGAAGAATAAAGATACTGATAATTTTACTTTGCAAATGAAAACAAATTATTTTTATTTCAACAGAGATCTAGAAATACCTGAAATCATTGTTTCTGTAAGCACCATAAGATCATTATAATCTGCATAGGCCATATAAAATTCACATGTAGTAAATTCAGGATTGTGTGTTAAGTCGATGCCTTCATTTCTAAACTGTCGGCCAATTTCATAAACCCTGTCAATGCCTCCAACAACCAACATCTAAATAAAATATGAATAAATTAAAATAGCAACTAAATTAAATTTAGTAGTCAAGGCTTAATACGTTGAAATTTTCTAAAGTATGTTCTTTGTGGTCAAGTCTTAATTTGAGTTGTTGTGTAAAAGCTTTTTTTAAAAAAAAAGTAAGTACTACTTATTTTCAGATTGTGGCATAAAGTACTACTTAAATTGTTGTGCTAAATATGTCATTCAAGTATATATTTTGTTGATTCACAATTGGGTTAACAAACCTTATAGAGGAGGGGGGCTGCCAATTTGTTTTCAAAAGTAAAATACTCTCTAGAAGACAAAAAGCTTTTGTAAACAATATCTCAAAGCTGTGTACTTGTTGTTCATTCCAGATGTGATAAAATTTGAAGAATAATTACTTTGCAAAGTTACACAGCTTGTTTTATACAAAATGTTTGTTAATATTTTCTGAGCTAATCAAAATTGTTTTTAGTCATTTCTAAGTGGACACTGAATCTTTGACAGCTTGGAATTATCCACTTTACTATAGAATATTATAAGCATATTCTCTAGGATGTGGATCTTTTATATTTTTTCAACAACACCATCAATTTTATTTAAAATGTTAATTTAGAATATCAAATTCTTTACTATTGTACAAGTTAAGATAAAAATGTGGAATTTTGATAATTACTTTTCCACTATGTACTTAGAACATATTGTACTATCGGTGTTGTGGACATTTAATGTTTTTGTTAACAATTACTCTAATTAAAATGTGTTCAGTGAAATATCACAATTTTTTGATATAAGCAATGGTATTGATACATCATAGCATTATCTTTTGAAGGTGGGCTTGGTATGGTTGTGTGTATTTTCTGATAGCAATATGTTATTGCACTAAGTTTTCTAAGATATTATATAATTGTTAAATTGCTATCTTAAAAATTCTGATTATGTAAAATAAGTCACACCATAAAAATATTTCTTTTTACATGCTTTAATATGCATCTCTAATATAATTTTTATTTTTGATACCATTATAATGTATTAAGTGCTAAAAATAATTATCTCAAACCCTTTGACCTTGAGCCATAAAATCAGTTATTTAAGTTTGCACTTAATTGAATTACGACAATAATTTAGGGCATATATAATGAACCAAGCTCATAAATCTACATACACTATTTGGTAAACAAAACAGAAATTCTTACTTTGTGATAAAGTTCTGGAGCAACTCTCATATAAAGATCCATGCCTAATTCATTGTGATGAGTGACAAAAGGCTTTGCAGTGGCTCCACCTACAATCATATTCATCATGGGTGTTTCTACCTGTACAAACAATGACACTTATTTGGCTTTTATAATTTCAATAAACAAATTATAATTCCACAAATTTTTCAGAGAGTAAGCCATTTTTTAAGAAAAAAAAAAAAAAAGAACAAGAAACAAGAGGGGAATCCTCAATAGCAGCAGCACTTGAAATTCTTTTTGGCAGGATTAAATGAATCTATGAGGCCTTTTTTACCTTTTTATTAGCTATATTTTTGTACGCCAGCAATATCAAGCATAGGGCACTAATCGATTTTATTACTAATCAGGATCTCTACCAGCCTACCCTCAAACTGAAATTCTTTTAGGCAGGATTCGAGTAAATTAATCTACGAGTCCTTGCATGTGGTCAAATACATCAATTAAAAGAGCTTGACCTCCTGAGTCAAAAACTGTAATTATATCTCAAATAAGTCAAAAGATGACAGAGCTACGAGTTAAAAGTTTGTACTTTAAAAAAACTCAGACCCATTCTATGAGCCGCTATGCCACGGCTAAATATCAGCTGTAACTTGAAAATATAGGTTTTTAAAAACAATATTTACCAATTTATCAGGCTCTTGTTATAGGTTACACTTATAGTTATAGTGAAGAACTTTATCCTTTTCTTCAAAGTCATGTTTTTAACATACTGTAACAAATCGTTTCTTTCACATTAACAATAATAGTAATTATTACCTCTTTCACAAATTGAACAGATTAAATTTATAAATCAAAGATGTTTGGTCTGGGGCCTGGACCTTTACAAACCATACAATTGAAATTCAAACTTCTAACTCAACAATATAACCTCAACACAAGAAGTTGAAAAAAGTATCACAAAATCTGATACAACACAGTCTTATCTTACTGTGAGAGCATTGCTACAACTAAGCGTATTTCCGCAGGGTCCCCGAATGTGTTATGTTTCAAGTGTAAATAAAACCAAAATTAAGAATAATAAGTATTTTACTAGACCACCATGACCCGTTGGGTCACCCACTTTTCAGAGGTTATGAAGAATTCAAGCAATTTCAATATTGCACCGAAATGAAGGTTTATTTTGAGATAATTTAATTAAATATTTCAATCCATTCGTGTTATTCATAATTCAAGAAAATATATTTGATTGTTGATCAGGAGTAAAAAGAAAGACCATTTCATTTTTCAAAAAAAGTGAAGTAAGAAGTTTCGTAAGGAGCATGAATGGTAGTGTGGTGTAAAATTACTCATGCTACAAATTTTCATAAAAGTGACCCTAAATTATTTCTTATCAGATGGTCTCTAATATACACCATAGTAACAGTTGGTAATTTCATTATTTCTTATCACACGATCTCTAATATACACCATAGTAACAACTGGGCCCATTGGGTCACCCATTATTCA